AAACATAGTCAGAGGAGATTTTGATGATGAATCTGTGCTATTGATGGTTTGAGTCTGATGGCAGATATTTGGTAGAGTGGTGGTATATGAACACTGGCTGCTCAAATCACCTAACTGGAAATAAACAATGACTGGTTGATTTTGAATCCAGAAAGAAGACAAAAATCAGATGTGCTGGTGATAAATACCTCAATGCAAAAGGTATGTGAAATGTCAAAGTTACAGTGAAGAATGGAAGAACCGTTGTGATCAAGGATGTTTGGTATGTTCCTGGTATGAAGAGCAATTTAATGGGTATGGGCCATTCCATTGAGAAGGTTTTTCGGTTAACATGAAGAACAATCTCCTGAAGTTATATGACTGTAATCAGAAACTGATTATACAATCTGAGCAGGGAAACAACAGAACATTTAAGGTGAATGTGGAGATAGCTGAAACTAAATGTCTTAGTGCAGAAAATGTTGAAGGTGATAGTGAGTTGTGGCACAAAATATTGGGGCATCTGAACTTCAGAAGCTTATGGTATCTGAGTTATAAGAAGTTAATACATGACATTTCTAAGATTATGAATCCTGGGAAGTCATGTGAGATATGCATGAAAGACAAGCAACTCAAATTTCCATTTGCGTCAGAAGAGCCCCAAGAGTAAAACATGCTTTGAGAGTTGTGCATTATGATGTATGTGGACCATTTCTAGTACCTTCACTTGGAGAAAACAAGTACTGTGTGACTTTTGTGTATAAGTTCACAAGAATTACATGGGTAGCACTCATCAAGTTTAAGCATGAGGTGTTTACTGAGTTCCAGAAGTTCAAGGTGAAGACTGAGAAACAGAGTTGTCAAAAGTTGAAAGTTCTCATAACTGGCGGTGGAGGTGAGTACAACTCTACAGAGTTTCAGAAGTTATATGAGGAGAATGGAATTGAGCATTAAATTACTTCTCCACACACTCCTTAGCACAATGGTCTCGATGAAAAGAGAAATAAAAATTTTCTTAATATGATCAGGAGCATGCTGAAGGAGAAGAATCTGCCACACACCTTGTGGGGAGAAGCTGGAGCCACTTTAGCATATGTGCTTAATATGTGTTCAACGAAAAACTGAAGGAAACTATTCCTTTATAGAAGAGGACTGAAGATAAGAAATGTGAGTCATTTCAGGGTGTTTGGTTCAGTTTGTTACAAACATGTTCCACATGAAAAGAGAAAGAAGTTGGATGATATAAACAAAATAATGTTGTTGATTGGGTATCACAGTACAGGTGCGTACAAACTTTATTGTTCAATCACTAATAAAGTTGAAGTCAGCGGAGAAGTCATTGTAAAAGAGTCAAAAGCATGGGATTGGAGATAGTCTCAATCCAACTCTGGTGTAGTGTCAACACCTGAGTTACTTCTGAAGATACTTCAAAATCTGAAGATTCTAAAGATGAGTCAGAGTTAGAAGATGATTCTGAAGGTTTTGAAGACAAGTCGGAGTCTAAAGGTGACTCTGAAGGTGAATCTGATTTTAATAACGATCTAGAATCTGGAGGTAATCATGCTTTTAAAGGTGGACCTTCTGAAGATGGACCTTCTGAAGATGGACCTTCTGGAGGTAGTGCAACTTATGAAGGAAGTCCAAAAGGTGATACTATTCTAGAACTTGAAGAAGATTTTGAACAAGTCCAGAGGCCACAAAAATCAGACAAATACCAAAGATATTTGCAACGTTTGACATGTTGCAAGATACTGAGATAGACTCTGAAGGGGAAGTCATTCAGTGTGCCATGTTAGTAGACTTTGAACTAGTGAATATTAAAGAAGCTCTCAAGAAGAAAGTGTGGATGAAGACTATGAAAGAAGAACTTGAGGCTATAGAAAGAAACAAGACCAAGGAGTCGACTGAGCTTCCAAAGGAGAAGAAACTCATCAGCGTCAGATGGGTTTTCAAGATAAAGCTGGAGCAATGTGGATCAATTGGAAAATACAAAGCAAGGTTAGTAGCAAGAGGATTCAACAAAAACCTGGATTAGATTACTTTGAGGTATTTGTGTCTGTAGATAAACTTGAAACAATCAAATTGGTGATTGTTATAGGTGCTAATAGGAATTGGCCTCTGATGCATCTAGATATGAAATATGCATTTCTGAACGGTCTATTGCAAGAAGAAGTATATGTGTCACAAATTCTTAGATTTGTGAAAAAGAATCAGGAAGGAATAAAGTACAGGTTACATAAAGTGTTGTATGGAATGAAACAAGTTCATAGAGCTTGGAATCTGAAGATTGATTCGTTTTTCAAGTTACAAGAGTTCAAAAAGTGTGAGATGGAATATGGTGTTTATATTTAGCATACTTCTGAAAGCAATATGATTTGGGTGTGTCTCTATGTTGATGACATATTGCTAACAAGAAGTTGTTCTAATGAGATAGTCAAGTTTAAGAAGGTACTAATGAATGAGTTTGAGATGACTGATCTGAAAAATATGGTATATTTTATAGGGATAGAGATTTTGTACTCTGAGAAGGTATAATTTTGCATCAGTTGAAGTATAAACTTGAGTTCCTGAAGAGATTTGAGCTAACAAATTGCAAGATTGAAATCACATTTGTTGAGACAAATCACAAGTTGGATTCTGATGTTGAGGGTGATTATGTAGATGCTACAACTTTTAAACAGTTGGTTGGCTCATTGAGATATATGTGTAACACCAGAGTTGGC